AGATTTAACAATATTTAACATGTAGATTTTATGAACAATATATAACATGTAGATTTTATGAACAATATATAACATGTAGATTTTAATTTTGACCAATAATTTGATTATTTGTTTGTTTTTTAGTTAAGGTATTGTGGCCGGCCTGTACTAGGCGCTTCTTCAGTTGGCATAAGTAAACGACATGCCGATGAATGCAAGACACTTTTTGATGGTGTTTTTTCTAGCTGATTTTGACTTGCAGTAATAGAAACGCGATTGATTTTTTAACAAACGACTAAAACGATTAAGTTTCATAGATAAGAAATAATCAAGAACTTCAAACATTTTGATCGTTAAATTTTTTTCTATAGAAATTTCGTATATAATAACTTTGTAATAAATGAATTTTTTTCATAGTCTAAAAATTTAAGGAAAAACAAATTTTAGATATCAAATAAATATTTAATAAAAAAAAATGCACATGCAAAAAAGTATAAATATAATATTATATATGCGAAAGGGTTAGAAATTTATAAAAATATACGCATGCATATAATAAAGAATAGATAAAATGTTTTTATTGTTAATATATTTCTTAACTATTACCGAATTTTTAGATTTACTACTTTTTATTTCATTTTCAGGGGGAAGGTTTTTCACTCACCAAACAGGGGAGGGTTTTTCACTCACCAAACAGGCGGAGGGTTTTTTCACTCACCAAGTCATAATTTTTTTTACTCGTAATGAACTGTAACACAATGCAATAACATTCTTGCCACTTTATTTTATTTATTATGAATCTTTATGGATATACGGCAATCCAATTTTTTGAATTTTTCAATAAACTTTGCAACCAGTTGTTTGTAAAGATCCTTAAAATTTTTTAGAAATCCATAAACTACGTTACAAAATGCACAACAAGTTTCTTTATTCAACTTTTTTTTTCATTGTTTTCTGACTTCGATGTTGCTTTTATTTGTGGTCCACCGAATATACCACCTTTGGTATATTGGTCTTGGCCTCAGATAGCTTTGGAAACATAAGACGAGTTTCTTCTAAAGCTTCTCCTCCAAAATATAAGACTTTTACAAACGTTTTACCAATCCTACCTTGATATGAAGAGGGTATAAAAGACTTTGTTGGAATCTATTAGAGGCTACTTGAGAACCTTGAACAATTCTGGCTGACTTTCCGCTTGTGGAGAACAATTAATCTTGTAATAATCATCATCAGCTCTGCATTCATAAATATTTTGTGTATCCTATTTGCAAGTCCAGCAAGTAAGCAAGCATCTTGAAATCACCACAAGCACACCACATGAAATCAGAATTTAACGTCTTTTTCGCTTTGAACTGAGTGGTCAAGGAATCAAAGATGTATATTTATTAAGTCTCTAAAAGGGATGCAGATGTCGTTTCTTGATGTGACATTTGTATGTCACACCAAGAAGATGTAAAAGCAGTTTTAAATTCTGATGAGTAGCACAGACGCATACTGAATGTGTTCCTGAAGCACCAGTAGTAATACACCATTTTGGTCGCAATGTGCAAAACCATGAAGACCCTATTTTCATTTCTGAGTTCATGGTTTTGAAGGCAACAAACAATTCCTTTAGATTACATAAAAGCAAACGTTTTTGCACGTGAACATTTTTCTTTATGCTTACATATTCGTTTTTACCAGGCATTATATGGCATTATTCATCATCTTCATAAAAAGACTTGTTGAGCTGTTACATCAGGAAGAGCATTTCCTAATTTAGGATTAGACATGGTTAAAATACCTTTTTCTAATCCTAACTCACATACAGTTCGAGCTACATAGTTTGTTACATGCAATGTTTCAGAAACTTTTTTTATTGACCAGTTAATTGGAGAAAGCGTTGTCTGTTAAATTTTTTTACATTTTGCTGACTCTGCAATTTTATTAGTTTAGTAGTTATTTATTACAACACCATCATGTTATCAAACAAGTTTGTTTTTACCATATACTCATTACCGAAACTTGGCTGTTCTTCAAAACTTTCTTCTGATATATTAAGGGAAATGGTTTCTATAAAAATAGTAAGAAAAAAAAAAAAGTAAGTTAATAATGATAAAAACTTAAAATAAATTTTTTTCAGAATTTGTTTAAATCTAATTTTTTAATAGAGGTTATTTAATGCTGTTTTTTTTTTGTTTGCTTTCTCTGATTTTACCTGACTTATGCAATAGATACTCTAGCAGCTGTAAAGTGTGTATTTACTCTTTTGTATTTTGAATGGATGTTTCACTAACAATAACAAAATCTTCATAGTTTTATTTTCGCTCATACTTTCTAATAAACGTTTTATAACTTTTCTAAGATAGGTTGGACACAACTTTTTTCCAGGTATAAGATTTGAGCCTACGGTTTTTGCTTCTAACACAGTGTGCATTGTAATCACACATAGAGATGCTGAAAAGAAAATTTAACTATATTACTTAAATACTATAACATTAATTATACTTTTATTATAAATCAATGAACAAATCCTATTACAAAAAACTTATAAATAACTTATTAAGAATGGTATTACCTATTAAAATGTAAATATATGAACTTTAACCTCTACACACTTTTGTGAGTCACTTTTTTGTGAAACAGCAACTTTTCTGATTACTCTCATATCTCACTATTAACATATCATGATGGTGTGTATACTAGTAATTTGTTCTTTTTTCAAATTTTTTTCGTTTTACAAGTAATTTATGATAATTCCTGCCAATATCTTCATTCAGATTTCTTACTAGGGTATATGATTGTTTATAACAAGCTCCATAAGTATTTACAAAAGGGCAATTGATTTTATTATACATATAAAACTGAAGAATTATAATCTAAACACTTAAATGCAAGAAATCTTAAATGCAATATTTTTAATGAGCAAAGTACACTTGAACACTTATTAGACGCAGTCTCTTTGTTAAGGCCAAAAAAAAGTGTAGGTTTCGATTCTATAAGTAGTATTGTCGTTATTAAATCGATAAAATACATCACAATTCCATTATTACATATTTTTAATTTATCTTTAAAACATGGTGTTTTTCCAGAAAACCTAAAAATTGCAAAAATCATTCCAATTTTAAAATCAGGCGATCCTTCTGAAGTTGCAAATTATCGTCCGATCTCAATTCTTAATTGTTTTTCTAAAATATTAGAGCGAGTTATGTATAATAGGCTTTATTCTTTTTTAAATGTAAATAATATTCTTTACCATAAACAATTGGAATTCAAATCTGGCCATTCCACCGATCATGCAATCATTCACCTTGTTCAGAACATATTTAAATCGTTTGATGAAGGCAAGTATACCCTAGGTCTTTTTATCGATTTAAGTAAAGCTTTCGATACAGTCAATCATCAAATCCTTCTATCGAAACTCAAAAGTTATGGTATAAAAAATACTAACTTGTCCTGGTTCGAGAGTTATTTGACCAATAGGAAGCAGTATATAGTTTATGATGAAGGAAAAACTAACTATGAGACAATTAAATGTGGTGTTCCTCAAGGATCAATTTTAGGGCCACTTCTATTTCTTGTTTATATAAACGATAAATAAATTTTCTAACATTTTAATACAATTTTATTTGCAGATGATACCAGCTTGTTTTATTCCAATAAAGATATCAATATATTATTCCAAACATTAAACAAAGAACTAGACAAACTAACCCAATGGTTTAAATCAAACAAGTTATCTTTAATCAAACAAGTTTAATCAAAGTTTAAGTTATCTTTAATCAAACAAGTTTAAATCAAACAAGCTATCTTTAAATATTACTAAAACAAAATACACTTTATTACATCGCCTACATAAAAAATCAGATATTCCCTTAGAACTCCCAGACCTTTTTATTGACAATCAAATAATAATGAGAGCAATCAATAAAGTTTTTAGGCGTGTTTCTAGACGAAAATGTAACCTGGAGGGAACACATAGGTGTAGTTGAAGATAAAATATCAAAAAATTTAGGTATAATGTACAAAGCAAAGCAGTTATTACATCGATCTTGTTTAAAAAACATTTACTTTTCTTTTATTAATTGCTACTTAAGTTATGCGAACATTGCTTGGTGTAGCACTAACGCGACGAAAATAAAAAAATTGCTTAGCAAACAAAAACAGGCTATAAGGATAATTTCAAACGTAGATCGTTTTTCACACACACAAACACTTTTTAATGAACTCAATATCATAAATGTATATAAACTAAACCTCTATCAAGTTCTTATTTTCATGTTCAAACTTGATAAAAATATATTACCAATCTTATTTTATTCATTTTTTAAAAAAAATAAATCACATATACCCTACAAGATTTTCAAAATACAACTACATTCAATCCAAAACTTATTATTCCGCTACTAAATTCTCTATTGTAAACCGAGGATCAAAGTTGTGGAACATAATATTAAATAATGAAATGAAAACTAATTATTCTCTAAACCAATTCAAAACAAAACTTAAGCAATTACTTTTGTTAACTGAAAATGAATTAAATTTTTTCTAATAAAACTTCTTTATATTAGAAGTCAATAATGAATAGTTAATTAATTAATTACTTTAGATTATTAATACATAATTAATCAACAATTGTACATATATTTTTATCATTTTAAATGATAATCTTCTTTTTGAGAAATTTATTTTTTATTTTTGCGTTATTTATTAATCTTTTACTTTTATTTTATACTGTTTATTTGCTTTTACTTAATTGGCAATGAAAAGTATTATAAATATAATTAAATAAGTTAAACTATAAAATGCTCCACCAATAAAATGTTTTTTATATAAAATCATACGTTCTTATTTTTCAAACCAAGTCTTAAATGTTATTTTTGTCATTTTAATATTTTATTAAATTTTGTTTCTTTTATTTTACAAAACAATTGTTAAATCTTATTCTTTGAAAAACTATAAATTTTAAACGATATGCGATATATTTAAATTTTCTTTTATAATATAAATCAGAGATATATACATTGAAACTATATTTTATTGTTAAACTATATTTTGTCTAGTAATGATGCATTTTTTGGGGCTTAATGATAAGAGTAAATTTGTCTTCTTCTAGCCCCGGTCATGTAATTATTTTTTTTATAAGTTACGACTGTAAATTTTTTTTTTATCGGCAAAAGTGTAAATAAATTAAAAAAAAAAAACACAAACAATATATTTATTTAATAATAAAGTTATATTTATAAAGAACATATTGCTTGAAAAAATAGCTTTTAGTTTTAATAGATATATTTTAGATGTGTAATTATCTAGTAATTTTTTCAATTCTCTACAAATCATATACCAATAATTAGGGTGACAATAGAGTTATATAACTTAACAAGGTAGCATTTATTGGATATTACTATGTCTATGTATCATTTTATTACTTATTTTATTGATGAGATGATCACCATTTTATTAC